CAACAAACCAACCAACCAACCAACCAACGAACGAATCAAATACATTTCCCAAATCTAATCGTTGTAACGTTGTAATTGTAATCTTCATTGCGTATCGATAATTAAAATTCGATTACGAGTTCATCATTTGAATTATTTTTATGTCAAACATTACTTATTTAATTATTTAATCATCTTATCGATTAAACAATATGAGAAAACAATTGGGCAAAGGTACAAAATTAATCTCGTTCTTAATTGTTTCTAAACAAATTTCTATGTTTTAATAAAGATTCATCTAACAATTTTGAGTATCCCTGAAAACTTTATACGTACATAACATTATTCAAAATAAATTAAAAATACGATAAATATTTTGTTCTACTCGTAAAACAAAAAGAAATGCACAATATCTAGGATAAGTGTTACACATTGAAATTGGTATCTAGATATTTTGACAAAACATATAAGAAAATTTGATAGATGATAAAAAAGGGAAGAATAAGTGTAAAGACGAAGAAAAAGGGCGAGAAATGAATATAATAGATTAGCGATGTGTGTGTTTATGCGTTATGTTTGTCAGAAGAGTTTGATCCGAGTAGAGAGAGAGAGAGAGAGAGAGAGAGAGAGAGAGAGAGAAGCGTCATCCGGGCCGGCGCGGTATGGTGCGTCATGGTTTGAACAAGGTGGTGTGGTGTGGTGCGGTGCGGTGCGGTGCGGTGCGGTACGTGCGGACCCAGCACGACAAGCAGCCGGTTACGTAAAGGTCGGTCACCCGGCCACGTTCTTCTCTGTCAGCCAACACGCTGCCATCGTTCCACACTGGTTCGCACCCTTAACGGCTTTATTGTCGAGCCAATTTTGTCATAAATCGATACATTTGTCCCTATCTTTACACGAGGACTCTCTATCTTATTATATTTCTCTTTCTATTTCTCTCCATTGATACAAATTATTAATCAACATCAATTGATAATAATATTTTCTTCAATCGATTTTATAATCTCAGAACCCGATAACGCTATACATATATGTATATATTTACATTCGCGTTATAATATATAATTAAAATCTTACAAATGTTATAAATCAAATGATTAATATTAGTTACACTGGTTATATTAGCATAGATAATATTTACCTTTAACAAGATTCTTTTTTTTTTCTTTTCTTTCCCTCCCCCTCCACCCCTCGTACACCTTTTCCTCTATCGTGTCAATACTTTTCTTTTAACTATCTCTATTCTAGTATATATGTACATAAGCGTTCTTGTATCAATATATACATATCTTTTTAGTGTTAATATTATTTCAAAATATATTTTGTTATTATCGTTTATAAATAACTGTTAATTAAACGAACAATTATATATCCGATGATACGTAATAGTTTACGTTCGTTCATTGACCGTTTTATTAAAAGGTTTCCGATTGCAACGGTCAAAGAACAGACGGAAGGAAAGGCGTTAGTTGAAGAAACACGCGATCGTAGTTAATTTGTTAGCTAGGAATATATAGGAATACTATCTACTTGCACTTATGTTTAAGACGATAGTATGAGAACGATCGATCATCCGGAGCACAAACCTTGGCATTCGATCATAAAATAGAAAACAGTCTTGCAACCACGTTTATAACTTAGATCGCGACACAATTAATTATCGATCTTATTAAATTAATTAATTAACAAATTGGTTTATTGTATTATCTTTTATGCATATTTATGTAGTTTTTTTTTTCTTTTTCTTACGTTACGTTACGTTAATTTGTTTTATTTTTTAACATAGGATTATAATATTATATAATAAATAATGTAAATTTGATCGTTAATCCACATTAAGATTCAAATGATTTTTTCGCATATATATAAAAATGTATACTATCTTATTAGTAAATTATTGGTTAAATATAAAAATTATTTACGCAATGGTCATTAAATGTAGTTACGAAAGGAATAGATCACAAATCATTCGATAATTGATATTAGTAACGTAATAATCGGTTAAATACATTTGAATTATAAATACGATCTAGATCGGTTCGTAACGACTTGTTTCATGAAAAATCGACAAATTTGTTTATCGTAATTTTAAGACGAATTTAATGTTAACTACTTTGATGAATTATCGTTCTAAGAATTCACGATTTCTCGTACTAACGTCAAAACCTAACATAAGTTGAATACAATTTCTTGAAAGACGACGATTTTATTAAACGATTAAAACGTTTTCATACGCGACGACTTAGTTTGTAAAACTTCAACGAGAAGAGAACGATATGTCATTACTACTAATAGCAACACCACGAATGATTAAGCGTATTCCAACAATATTTCTCTATGTTCTTCTTTAACATAATAATCGTGAGTCAAGCATACACATACAATTTTTTTTTTATATTCGTCGTGTTCTATCAAAAATGAAAAAAAAAGCCAAGAAATTTTGTACGAAGATCGGTTACACGTTATATTATATTTTATATTAACGAATAAAAAATAACATCTAACCAATCAGGTATTTCGAATTCTCGATTTTATCCAACTTAATCCTTTCTCTCTCGTGTACGAATAATAAAAAAAAAAAAAGAAAAAAAGAAAAGGAATTATATTCGACTCGTCGTTTTTTTTTTTTTTTCTTTTTTTTTTCTTCTCTTAAATTAACTAATAGACCCAACAAAAATATGTTACTTTTCTTTCTCGACTTTTTCTTTAGAGAAAGAAACAGTCAAGGTTGTTGTGCAACGAAAGGATCGATTCGAAACGATATATCTACATACGTTGTTGTATGTCTTGTTGTAGTTTTAAATGAGCTACCTTATATAAGTCCCGTTCCTCCTATCTTTATCGAGATCGTTTATTCAATCGAGTACCACCCGAGAATAAAATATATATGTTTAATAAAAAAGAAAAAAAAAAAGAAAAGAAAAAAAATATAATATAATATATGAAAAACAAAATTCTCTTTATCTTATCGTACATTGATAATAATAATTTTATGAACGTTTGGATTAATTATATATCGCGTATTTTATTTCGTTTCGTTTTTTTCTTATAATTATTACGCTAAAATACATTCGTATAAATTAATATGGAAAATAAAACGAAAAAAGAAAAAGAAACAAACATACAATTCTCAAGAATATAATATGAAACGTTTGTGATTTATTCGTGCAATTGGCATGAGCATATATATGTATATGTATATATATATATATACATAGACCGGTGGTCATAGCGCGTGCCGGAAATTCATTCTCCACCAACATATAGAAAGAGTTCTCGCGACGAAGGCAATGACATTGCTCACAATGCCAGGATGCACTCCCGACGTTTGCACCCGTCTACCTCCGCCAGTACTACTCCCCCCTTGTCCCTCCCGCCCCTCGACCACTCAACGTCACGGTCTCCTCGTCAAATCGGTTCTTCACGGTCTACGCTTTTGAACTACGCCTCTTCTCCCTCCTTCCCACCCTCGTAACCACCCTCTCTAATTGATCTCCTCATGACTAGCAAGAAGTGCATTCACGAACTTACAAAACAAATCATTTGTCATGTCACAAGAGGTATCTTGATTTATATATTTCAAACAAAAAAAAATTAGTTTAATTTATTCCTTATTATTGATTTTATTTTCTTTGTTTTTTCTTCTTTTCTCTTTTTTTTTTTTTTTTTGACAGTATATTGCAATGATTTTATAATTCGCGTTAAATGTTGCAAATGCGGAGAAGATATAATAATTATGATAATGATAATGATAAATTAATCGTAATCGTTGAACAAATTCGAATATCAAATTCGAAACGTGAAATATGAATCTATTTATTTCGGGTGAACGGATAGGATTATAAAATAAAATAAAATAAAATAAAATTTATGATCGGTGCATATATATATATATATATATGCACAACTCGTATTACCATCAACAAAATGTGACATGATAGAAAGCTTGACTTATCCGATAAAAAAATGATCACGATTTCGCAATGACGGTAACATAACGTTCTGTGAAAAAAAGAAAATTCTACGTATTGGCCATGCTACTACGTTATAATTAATAAGCAATTAATAAATGTTATTAATTTGTTTAATCGAGCATATCCATTTATAATTGGATATCGGAAAGCGTAAAGATATTGATCTTCGAGTAATGTATTTTTCTTTTTTTTTTTTTTTTTTTTTTTTAATTTTTTTCCCTCTTCTCCCCGACTTATGTTAGAAAATGAATGCATTTTTCGCTAATTGGGTCAAAAAGCAATAATAAAAAACACGAAATAATATTATTTNAAATTCTACGTATTGGCCATGCTACTACGTTATAATTAATAAGCAATTAATAAATGTTATTAATTTGTTTAATCGAGCATATCCATTTATAATTGCATCCCCGAAAGCGTAAAGATATTGATCTTCGAGTAATTTTTTTTTTTTTTTTTTTTTTTCTTTTAATTTGTTTCCCTCTTCTCCCCGACTTATGTTAGAAAATGAATGCATTTTTCGCTAATTGGGTCAAAAAGCAATAATAAAAAACACGAAATAATATTATTTAAATATATTCAAATTCGTGTTGACTCTCGAGAAGAAATACTTAAGAAGAAAATAAAAAATAAATTTATGTAGAGAGAAATATTGATAATATCGTATGATTAGATCAATACAGTAATAATTACTTTTCCCCTGTTACAGTCATTAACGGATTTAATTGAGTATACGTTTGACTAATCTACGAGTAAATGAATAATAATTCAGCACAGATATCGATGAAAAAAAAAGTGTCAACTAGAAAATCACGTAACTGTCAGATAAATTTTATTTCTCTCTTAAGACTAGAGAGAAATGAAAATTTGTTATTTAATACCTCGTATATACCCCCAACCCTCCCACGGTCCAATAATCTTTGGCTTGTCGGGAAACAAATGGAAGATGAAGAATAAAGCATTAAAATCAAATTAATTGTATATTCTCGACAAGATGTGAAAAGGGATAAAGACCAGATTCTATGAGGTTATTTTCTTTTGTTTCAGTGCCAAACAGCCCACTCCATCTTAGCAACAGGGCCCACGTTTTGCTTTTGTTAAAGAGGCCACAGGCGTCTTTAACGGATGCCGATCAGGCAGTTAGGCTTAGACCTGATTGGGGAAAGGTGAGTTTATCTTAATAAATAGAACCAAATTGTATTATTTCTAACGATGTGAATTTGATCGATAGGGTCATTACAGAAGAGGAGTAGCATTATCAGCTTTGGGCAGATACGAGGAAGCTTTTTTTGCCCTTTGCATTAGCGTTGCCATCGACAAGAATCCTCAAGTAGTACGGCACGAATTAACCAGGGTAGGTAAATATAAATTTACCTTTTTGTTTTTTATTTTCCAATTAACCTGTAACATCCAAAACGTAAGGAAGCTAATTAAACGATAAATAATACTAGTTTTTTTTTCCATGGAAAAAACAAATAATATGGGAGAGTTTCCCTTTCCTCTTGCAAATCCTTTTGTTGGCAGTTTAACTGATTCGTTGTAGGTACGACAGTCGTTAGGTGAGTCAGCCACTCGTATCAACTCTCCCCTATATTGTTTCCTCCCTAAATTAGCTCTTAACTTTAATCTCTGTATTCTTTCTTTTTTTTCTGTTTTTTTTTTTCTATTTTTGTTCAGAGTATAGTAGAATCGTTTCGTTATATGAATTTTCACGGACTAGATTGTACCTTTCTCAAATGTAACACAATTTTATTTCTTTTTAAATGCTGCCCATGTTTTGTACAATATTTAAATCATTTAATCGAAAGGGATCGTAAAACGTTAGATCTAAAATCAATAAATTAAGAAAATTAGAAATAATTACAAATATCTTAAATCATTCGTTAATTAATAATAGAACGTGAAAGAAAATCTAGAACATAGGATATATTCCGTTTAATAAAGTAGAAATTTTTCACACATACACACACAGACACATGATTCTTTTCTAATAGATTGAAAATATTAAAAATCAATCGTTTTTGTATTATCTTTTTAGGTGTTGCATAGAATGTTATTGGCCGATTTGCGTCGTCAAAGTGTCATGCAATCGCGAACACCTTACAATTTAATAGAAGGTGTGTCCCGCACGAGAAGCCGTCACCAATTAACAAATCCCAAGCGTAATCGACATGCCGCGTTTAATAGTTCGGATTGCGAGGACGATAGTAGTGGTGGCGAAGAGGAATTCACACAGGTATGTTGGCCGTTTATTTTCTTTTCTTATTACATCTATCCTTTCGTTTCTTTTCTTTTATATATATATATATTTTTTTCTTCTGTTAATCAATTACAGTATTTGAACTAAAACGAGACAACATTTCATTTCATTTCATTTCATTTCGAGCATATGTATTTTTTTTTATTTATTTGTAACCTTCGTAAGTTCAGCGAACTTTTCGATAGGCTTATGACCCCCACGAGACACATTTTTTAATGGAAATATAATTAAAACGTTTTGCTCATTTATGTTTTTTTTTTTTTTTTTTTAATCGAATGATTCCAAAAAAACCATTGCATAGATTACGTAAATATCATTGTTATCGTGGTTAATATCGTGGCCGTGATAAAAGGTGACGAATAATCGGTAATCGTTTCACTGAGTCTAATTATAAACGTGATACTCGGACTCAACGATGTCATTATATAGATTCCCTACGTGACCGTTTATCATTATCGCGTTTTTAAAGACAATAAAACTACGATAGAATATCCCCCAATGTGTTTTATGATAAATCACATCTATTATAAGTTGTTTTAAATCGTATCTCAATCCAACATCATTTTCTTTCTCTACACTACTCCCCCTACTACTCCTCTTATTATATAATATAATATTATTTTATTGTGTTTTCTTTTTGTTTTTATCGCAGACGATTAGTCGAAGACTTCTCTCGAATAATGCGAAACTTCAAACGATCTTGGACCGAGTATCCCAAGATATGGAAAAACTGAAAAGTAAGTAATCTCAAACATGATTATATAAATTATATATTCATTTATTATGTAATATGTTTAAAAAAAAATGTATCTTTTATTTTTAATTAATATTTTTATTTGAATAATCTTATGTGATATTATTTAAAACATTAAATTTAAAATAGTTACAATTGAAAGGACACACGCACAACGTTTTCTTTTTATAAATATTTGATTGAGAAGAATATATGTAAGATGAATTTATGTATATGTGTTAAATATTAAACCGATCCACCTATCCGGTGCATATTTACGTGTATATTATTTTAATTGCATTACGTTTCTCATATAAGAATTCCTTTTCAGGAGTGGAAGCAAGACCTGCTGAAGTTTTATTACCTCCATTTTCTGATGGAACGGTCAACGAATTAGATTGCATTTTATGCTGTCGATTACTTTGGAAACCTGTAACAACGCCATGTGGGCATACTTATTGTTGGATGTGTCTTGATAGGTGTTTGGATTATTCCTCGGCTTGTCCATTGTGTGTCACATCCTTAGCCGACGTAAGTTCTTTTAACAATACGTTTCAAATTAAAAATATATATATATATATATATATATATATATATATATATAATTAAAAGGTTGTGTTTTTGTTAAAATGTTTGATTTTCAAAATTGTTAACGTGGTTGAAAAGAAAGGATTATAAAATGTAGTCGATTAAATATATTAAATCGTATCTTTGTGTGTGGTTTGCTTGTTTGTTAGTCACGAACCATTACTCATGGGTAATGTTTTTTTTTTGGTTTTTTTTTGTATTTTTTTTTTCAAAGATTAAAGGAAGAAGAATACTCTTTGTTCGGTCGGTTTATTTTAACGACGATTATTGCAACTTAAAAAATAATACGTGAATGCTTTCTAACGTTGAACGATACCTCGTAGATCTTTAACAACGATCGTTATTCGTGGTCGTTGCGGTCAACGTTATAAGCTTCCGCGTTTTCAGAATTATTACCAATTGTTTATATCTAACTGTATATTATCGGGTTAATGATGAACAAAATTTATTCGATAAGAATCAACGACGAGTGGGATGATTGTGTTGCCACCAAAACGAATATAACTTATAACCGATTATTTTGCGGTATTTTTACGAAATAATATCTTCATCATCTTCCTTTATTCTCTTTCTATACCATAATAATTATTCATTTGATTTATTACGTAATCTGAAAAGCTAGACAAATTTCTGAGAAATCGTACCGATATTTCGTTATTTTAAATGAATGAAATATTTGGCGAACGTAGTTCAAGACAAAAATTGTTTAAATTTTTACGTTTTTGACGCAATAAGCGGGCTCCAAAATATCGTTTGAAGGAATCTAATTAACGATTTATATTTTGTTTCCTTTTTTTGCAGTATCTAGCGAGTAGTCAAAAAACGGTAACAGATTTTATCGAAAAGGCTTTGAAAATTGTTGCACCGAACGAATACGCGGCCAGAGCTGCGAGTCATCGACTCGAGTTGGTTCAAGGTCTCGGTCTTCTGGACAGCGAACAAATCGCTGTATTTATTTGCACCACTGCATTTCCATGCGTCGCGTGTCCGTTGTTCGTCTATGAGCCTAGATATCGATTGATGGTTAGAAGGTGCGTCGAAAGTGGGGTCAAACAATTTGGTATAGCTGCGTGTCTTAACAAAGAATCGAGTGGTGCTAAAAGGTAAGATCATGATGGATATACATTCTTCAAGATATTATTATTATTAATATTATTATTATTATTTTATTCATTAAAATGTGATTCAAATGATCGTTTTTATTTTTACAGGTACGCGGAATATGGTACGATACTTGAAATACGGGATCGCGTTTTATTGAAGGATGGTTGTAGTATATTAAGTACGTTAGGAAGAAGAAGGTTCCGAGTTTTATCTGGTGGTGAAAGGGACGGATACGATACGGCACATGTTGAATTTATACGGGACACAATAGTACAAGGAAACCAATTATTGAATCTCTTGGAATTGCACGATAAGGTATGTATTCTAAATTAATTAACGCGAATAGAATTAAAATATATATATATATATATACACGTGTTGTGATTAGAGATAGATAAGTCAATTAGATTAGGAGAATATTGATGGCTCTCTTACAGAAAAATAAAAAAAAGCTTGGTGTCTTCGTCGCAGGTACGAGCTAAAGGTAGAAGATGGTGGAACACTGTCCCGTCTTATCAACAATCCGAAATTCAACGTGTTTTCGGTCGTATGCCCGACACGGAAGAAGATTGGCCGAGATTACCGGACGGTCCTTCATGGACTTGGTGGTTGTTAGCCATTTTACCACTTGGACCACAACTTCAAGTTGGTATATTGGGTACAACTAGTTTGGAGAAAAGATTGAGAGCCATAGAAAAGACTTTGGATCATATGGAACAAAGGCAATTAACTGTTGCACCAGCACCGTCCGAAGAAACAACGACCTCGTCGAGTATTTGCAGAGATAGACGGGCCATAACGGAAAGGACGGTTTCACTATTTCAACAATCCTAGAAATTATTCTCTACCCTTTTTTCTATTACCCTTTCAAATTCTTTTCATAATTAACTTTAACATCTTTCGTTTCATTTTGAAAACACATTTGCGCTAAAGGATTAAAATAGATTATCGTGATTTTCGATAATCGATTTTTGTCTAAGGATACATTTAACATATCCCTTCCTTCCTTCCTTCCTTCCTTCCTTCCTTCCTATTCCTCTCGCATATTTTTAATTAAGTATTTTTGCCCGAGTGTCTATATAGCTCGATTAATTCGGCACTCGTTAAACTCTCGATCGGATACCTTATCGATCAATCCAAATTCTCAGCGAGCGATTTCGTTAAACAAATCAGCGACATATCCGGTATAAAAAAAAAAAGAAAAATAAATTAATAAATATTGTTAGCTAGAGGGGATCGCTTGAATCTCGATAAGGTTTGCCGAATTTTGTTTTTTCGCTATTGCAATACGCAAATCTGTTCTTCCAAAATATTATAATTAAAATTGATAATTATATAGAGTATATATATATATATATATATATATATATATATA